TTTTCGGTTGCTTTCTTTTTCTCCTTGTTATCGGAAGGACGAACGGGCGAGACGTGGAAAGGAAAGAAGGCGGCAGTAACGGAGATGCAAAGTGCGATTCGGGGTTGGCAACGAAGAGACGGGGGAAGAGAATATGGATCCAAGTCGGGAAGGGGACCCTGAGAGTCAGGCAACCTCTTAGGGATTCCGTTAATTGTTTTGGGGGGGAGGGAAAAGGGGGTACGTTGGTGATGTGGGTTGGGATTTAGGGGAACGACGATGCAATTGGGGGCAGAGAGGCGGCAGATGGGGGAAGAATAGAAGGAAGAAGGGGGAACGAAAGGGAAGAGAAGAGATGGGATATTTTTTGAGGGGATACAGAGAGAGCAAGTCGGGTGTGGTGAGAGGGAATTCCTAGGAGGCGAGGAGGAGGAGAAGGAGGTTTCTCTCAGGCAAAATGGCGGTTCGGGGTGGGCAGGCGCAGTGAAGGGTCGAAATGGAGATTGCCAAATGGGAAGGTTTGTGGTATCGTACCGATGGCCCATGGTGCTGCATTGGTCTGCTGGAGCCAGGCGACGATGGAGTTCCACTTTCCTGGAGACCGTACTGCGTACACAGTACTCCGTACCTCGTGCAGGAAATGGATCATAAAAGTACCCACGCCGCCCATTCATGCGGATAGGGATACATGCACTTGCTTGTAAATGCACAATCACACAATCCACCATGGCCTTGATCCTAGGCAGGTCCCCTACCCTTGATCCCATGTACCCTGTGTTTTCGTTGCGGCAGACTGGGTGCCCCGGCCCAACGCCATCGTATCTGACTGGTCCAGTCTAGTCCTACAAGTGCGGTCCAATGTACGGATACTTTTCTCTCCTATCCATCCGTAGTACGTCGAGGAACATTTCAGTGTCCTATATGCTCGCTGCCTTTTCATAACTTGAACCTCAACTTCCTATAGTGCCTACTTCTAGGAAGGAAAGCATAAGCAGTGAAAAAGAAAAAATAACAGACTATGTCAACATGATGGGTAAAGCGTCAGTTGTGCTTGCTTCATCGTGATCTCAGATAAGATATCACAAGGCTGGCCATCAACGTTTCGGGGACATAGCTGTGGACTCAGGAGAGCTCCTTCCATGTATCAATGTAGGTACTCCGGAAGGTATGTAGGAATCGAGGTTGAGCAGCCATGTGTGAGACTATACCCTTCCACTTGTTATTCTCCTCCTTCTCCATGTCGCCTACACACAGGGCGGACCCCCCAAATCCCCTCCGAAAATAACCCAAACAGGAATGGCCAGGACGCGTCCCTTGGTCTCCTGGGAAGGACGTGAGGACGTATTCCTACACAGTAGGTGGCTTGGAGAATTTTGGCAATCTGTCATTGGGTGGACGAACGAAAAGCGGCGAATCACGACCACGCTACCCCTTGCTCCTGGGCGACTGGAAATGCTCGCCGCGCTCAGAATGCCACGAGTGCCTCCTTCCTGTGTGCCTGGTGTCCCGAATGAGGAAGCCCCAAGGGATTCGGGAACAACAAAAACACAACCACAACATTCAATCCACCACTTACCGTGCCGGTCCACCAATGCCGCGCCCGTCCCTACCTATTCACTGCTACTTCGTAAACGCAGCGTACGGATAGGTAGGCACGTAAGCTACCCCTTAAGGCTTCAGCATCGCCAAAGAGATGGATGGCACAGGTGCAAAAGCAAGAGCGCTGCAGATACAACCACCTCATACTCCCTACAACTTTCGAATACCTAGCAGCACGCTCAACATGATCATCTCAATTCTTGTACATGCAGAGAACAACACTGTTACCTGCAACCGCCGTTCCCACGCGGCACCGGGCATAGGTCCGGGCACTGTCAGATGAGAAAGATGGGATGCTCGACCTTCAAACCAAAGACCCAAAGACCCAAAGATGCAACACCGCTTCGGAGACTTGTTCAACGCGCAACGTCGATCCATCGCGCGTCAAACAAACGTCCAAGGAGGCGGAAACGAAACACCTCAACGTTCGCGCTCCCAAGCTCGCCCGTGCTAGGTTATCTGACCTCACACTGCCGAGTCTTCACGGTAGCCATACGCCTCTTCAGCCTCCCTCGCCAGAGGACCCTTACGCTTGGTACACGACAGCACTGTATGGATGTACAAGCTACCCAAGCAAGTGTCCAAGTGCTGAAATCCAGCAGAGTGCCAGTTCTTCGGGATCGATGCACACACCCACACCCAAACCTACTAGGCTCCAGAGTCCTACACGATGGGACGAAATGCAGATTCTTCGGCTCGACCAATGTCATCAGCCCATCACTAGATCCCACCAAGCAACGCATGTATACTGCCTACTTAGATTCTTTCGCACTTTTCTGGACCGTCTCTGGATTCACCAGCTAGAGTATCTACCTAGCTTGTCGATGCATCTCTCGGCGGACTAGACGACAGACCGCCACGGCGGTACAACAACATGCCTCGCCAACATTCCCGGCCAATCACCATCTGGTTCGCCTCAATCTTGTCTCTGGAGCTGTCTCTCCCCCTTCTGTAGTGCAGACTGCGGCGCGAGTGCAGTCGTCAGTCACCGGTTACGTGTGATAATCGGCGGATACGAAGGGGCAGAAGGGAACGCTTCTCCGTATTCAACTTGACAAAGTGCCCCACCATGGTGGCTTTGCCATGCTAGAGATGGTGAGGTAATGCTACCTGCATATGGGAAGGGATGGCGTCCCCTGCCTTCGACAGGGAAAAAAAATTGCAGGGCCATTTCACACGCCTGCTCTGTCCGCCCTCCGCCTCCCACCCCATGCGCAAGAGACAAGGCCCATTCGTTCGACGGGAGACTGGAGCATACTGGAGTCATTGCCGCCGCCGCACTTGACCGAAAGGCCTAGGCGTCGGGGTGGTCACCGACAAGGGAGACATAAGATGGAGGGGAGAAGCCGTTCGTGATGGACTCCGCAGCTTGGTGACATCAGCAACACCCTATCAACAAACCCGGAAGACGTGAGTTATATCCGAACCTCGACGTCTTGCAGAAGGAAGGCAGATGTGCCGTGTGATTTTGTCTGACCCATGGTCTCCAGGAGTCGCTCTCGGTGCCGCTCAGGCAATCGACCGTTGACTTCATACACACGCGCACTATACTCTGTATTCACAACAGTAATACCGCACACGCACATAGTAAGGATACAATCACCTATCCGTACGCTCACTAGGCTGCACCCCGACCTGCCCGATTGATTCATTCGACCGGCCGCTCTTGACAGCGCTGATGACGTTGGCTAGAGCCCAGCCTCCGATCTGATCTGATCTTGAGGCTTGTTGATATTGCAATGCTCATGACCTCACTTGAGCTTCCCTTCTTTACTCCTTCATTCTTCATACATACTCGCCCTTTCTGCTCTTCCTTTGACTTTGAGCCTTAGCTCGCTTTTTCACACTATATTTAGTCCACGGCGAGAGATCAGTCAGGGGTCCACAAGACAAGTCGTCGGCCAACGACCAACGGGTCGCCAGTAGCACACAAGAGACGGGCAATGGAGAGACATTTGAGGTATGTTGTACGTGGGATGCACGAGCACTTACATGCAAAGGGGCAACACTATGAGCGGCCCACTTCGTACATGTACTTCTCGCACCGCAGGTGGCGGCAACAGCTAAGCACAGTACTTACTCGAGCGCGCGATAGCAACCAGAACAAGCGCGACACACACACACGAGATTCTCACAGGCTACAGACGGGTTCTTGCTAGCAACCACAACGGGGGTAAGGTGGAAACGACGCTAGCAGGCCAACAGACTAGCATGCTTGCTAACGGGCCATGATCGCTTCTCGCGGCGATGTGGCGGCGGCGTTGCGGCCCCTACAACTTTCCGGCGCCCCTGCCGATGAGATATGATGTGCTCGCATGCTAGCAATCTAGCAGAAGGCTTGAGTATGCGAGACGAGATCAAGTTCGTAAAGATACTGATGCGGAATATCAGGTCTAACCAAGCCAGCACAAGTACAAGTATAAAGGAATCCAGAGTACGCATGCAGATACTCCTGCGGTGCGGCTCTCAGCATGTATCATACGACGGGCACCTTTGACATACAAAGAGCTGGCTTGAATTGCGGTGAGATGGTGCAAGCCTCTCTAGCTGGAGAAGGCCAACGGAAAGCTCCAGCTAATTTACCGTACTCCGCATCGTAACCTATTCGTACGGATAGAAGCTCATGCTTTGGAAATGAAGCGAAGGTTTCCCGTCAGCAACCATCGAAACAAGCCAGGGCCCGCCAGCATAACGAACAAGGAGACGCCCCGTCGCAAGCAATTTGCTTCTGACTGCCAATACTCTTTGCTATGCAACGCACAACCTCCATATGTTTGACCGACACTTCAGCCCTGTGGTGCAGGCTATTTAAGTGTATTCGAGAACACATGGGGCCGCTGAAGAAAAGCATGAAGCTGTTGCACAGAGGGAGTGCGGATACCCCGAGCACCACGATTTTTTGCAGCTCATCTTGCTTTTCCATTCCATTTACGCATTGATCTCGAGATTTGCCAGGGAGCACTCAATTACCATAGATGATGCGCCCATGCCCGTGGCCCTAGGCTGCTTTGCTGGGCTTTTGCAAAAATCGAACAAGCCTGTTCACAGACGATGCATCCAAGCACCACACCAGGTCATCGCTCAATTTCTCGATGCTGAAGTAAGCACACTGGGTCAAGGTTGGTCAGAAGATCAGATCATGTCCGACTGGATCTTGAGCGGCATCGAACAAGATTGCAGGACAACGGCAAAGGTGGAGTGTGGACGGGAAGTTGAATAAACGAGCGGCGTTCCGTTTTCGAGTGCAGTCAGTATTCTAGCCGGATATCTACCGTGTCTTTCCTAGACCACGCCGCAGCCGTTGCTTCTCATTCGCTGCTCTTATCATCGCTGGCGCTCATCGGCATCAGCACCGTTGGCGTCTGTGCCTGGCAGGAAGCTTCACCTAGGGCAAAGACAATTACCAAGACGCTTCGCAGGCAATGACCTTGGCCGAGAAGGCCTGGATGGAAGTAGGAGCCAACGGCTCGCACCTACTGCAGGCGCGAGGCAAAGCCCAGGCCAGGTGACGGGTGATTGATCAAGGGTGGCTCGATCATCTCGATAGAAACGAGCCGCTGTCTGCTTGAAACGACAGTCTCAACCGCCGATGCTTCAACGCGTACGGTATGTATTTTCCATGTTGACAGGTGCTTCCTTGCCAGGAAAATTTACTTGGGCATGGAAACGCTTGCGGTCACCACTACCACCTGGAGCTTGGAGGAAGGGGATTCTTTTGTCTCAACCTGCAGAGCTGGACGACAGAGTTCAGACATGCATGGCTCTGGCAGTTGTCTCGCTCATCCGCTCTTGCGAGCTTGGTGTGCCAAAGGCTCAAGCTGTCCGTCAAGTTCCCATCATCCTCAACAGACTTTCGGCAGCTTCCAGCTACATCTTCTCCACGAGTCCAGGGCTACCTTAATCAGAATTGAGATTTTACTTTCAGCTTGTCTGTCTGGAGCAAAGCCTCCGCGGGAATTATGAAAGATTTCCGACTACACCCCGGTCCCTGTCCCCGACATCTCATGGGCAGACTTCCTGGATCCCAGTCGCCAAATCTTTTCTCCTTTCGCGGCTTTGTCAGACCTGAACTTTCTCTGTGTTGTTAGACCCGATCATGACGCTATCTTGAAGCTGCGCACCAGCACGGAAACAAGCTCACCTGCAGCCTGCACTGACAGAAACCCCATCCGCAATGCGAGTCTATCTCTGCTCATATGGGCTGTTTGAAGGACTTGACGGGCCATCAATCAACTCGACTAGTCATTCCATCGAACAAAACATCTCGATGTACGGATACATATTCACTATCAAGCCCCAAGGGTACGGAGCACTCGCCGTCCTCCCCCACGAGTGTGACCCGATTTGGCAGGACATCACCGAACGGGGCCGCCGCTCCCCTTCGGAACCTCAGTACTCGATGACGCGGGCATATCGGTCTTCCGCAACGTATCAGAACAGTCAAGCCGGGCCACATCTACAGAGACGGCATTGCTTAGCAATTCCATGTGCAGAGTCGCAAGCCTGTGCGGGTTAGCTCGAGCCTTGGATATGCTAACCTCCGATCTGATGCTTGTCAAGAGACTTTATCACACCGAACAACAGCAGTGGCGACAAATATGGCACCTGCTTTGCTGCTCGATGAGCCGTGTCTCGGCACTCAGTATCGTGTCCGGCGGAAGGCTCTACTCCGTACACTATCCGTCCGTTCGATGTCGTGCCGAAGCAGAGTGCGATGAGCTTCCACGGACCACATGTCCCACCCTTCTCCCTCATCAATCGGGCTTCTGGGCCCGTGATGCCCTTTGAGCAACTTCCTTGCGCCTAGGGCCGAGTTCTTCTCGAATTGTTCGGCTGTGAGGAGGCGCGCTCAACGTCTGGACTAGCCCATGCGGGTATCGAGCCCATGGGTCTTCTCTTTTGTCGGGTGTTTCAATCTCACCTGGCCCCCAAGCCTCAGCCCAGCACGGTTTGCAATACCTATTGATGATCGGTCCATCCGTCGAAGGGCTGATACGGTGATACCTTGTGCGACAATTGCGCGCCCACCGCGTCCGTTCCACCCGCCGCTGGCAATGACAACAAGCACAGAGGCGCGACCGGCTGCATGAGAGGGCTTCCTTTTTCCTCATCTCGGTCAACTGGGATGGCTTCAATCCATCATTTCTTCTGATGCAGTGCGGGGGAGCAATAGCGAGCCATTATTGGTTCAGCCTGGATCCCGTCCGCTGCAACGCTGCAGCTTCACATGCGCTTATCCTGCTGCGCGCTCTCAGGCCTTGCGGGGGAATCGACCACACCAACGCGCGCGACCCTTTTTTTATTTTTATTTTTTTTAGGAGCAGCAACGCGATTCAGAGGGAAATATGCTCTCTCGAGATTCAAACAGTCTCGCGGCACGGACCCGTCAAGCCTGTGTTAATTTGCACGATAGTGTCCCTGGATCGCTGGATCTGAATGATGGATCTGGCAGCACAACGCAATACGATGTCCTATAGACGCAAGGACGACGAGCTCTTCCCAACAGTCAGTGTCAGTATGTGAGAGCAGGGCAGCCCATCTCAGTCTTCTAACTGGATCAACCTTGCACACTGCAGAAGGAACAACGACTTGACGCCTCCTCCAAGGCCAAATCCATGATCTCTGTGGATGTCCTGGCAGCATCGCTGAAGATCAGACGCATTCTGTGGAGATTGTCCTATCATGATCTTCTTGGCCTCGGACCGACTTGGTAGTGATCGCTTCGGGGTTGGATAGTAGCCATCAACAGCGTTCTGAGGGGTTTGTTGCTTGGCTGCCAGTTGTGACCCTGCCAACACACTGCACACGCCCACACGTAACAAACGAGCAGTGGGATATTCAGGGTCTGATCCATGAAAGCCGCCATGGCGTATCCTCGATGGCCTATACTACAACTATTGCTATGCAAAACAGCCCGAGATTCCAAGTTTGCATCCTTGTTTCGCAATGGCCTGCAAAGATGAAATCGCAGGCGGTCTCTCAGAAGTTAGAACGTAGCAGAAGCCTCTGCTTCGGAAATCTCGAACATGGGGTGTTTGGCCAACGTTTTCCGCATGGCGGGAAGTGGAAATTATCGAGAGTTTTCGCCGATTGCCTCACCAGTTGCGCGGCCCCCCGTTTTCGCCCACAGACTGGCGCAAGCAAGCCACGAACGACAGTGCCAGATCAGGAGGCCCGCTCTCGGTCATGGAGCGAAATAAGTGGCTCTCGAGAGTCGAAGGACTCACTTACAGTCTTGCACAGCATCTTCTGTCGCCCCACGATCAAGGGTTGTGGGTTCCTGGCGTCGTGTTCTAGTCGGCAGCGTGACTATTCACAACGCCATCGCCCGTAGAGTCTAGCGGCAGAATGACGGGCGACGATCATTTTACCAGAGACAGACCGTCTCTATCTCGTTGTCCGTTCTGGCGGGCCCAGTGCGACAACCGCGACGAATCGCAGAGCCAATTGATCGTGAAAAAGGCAATGCAAGTACTTCGATCAAGTTCTAGCTGCAGCAGACGGCGCACCACGAGCGCTGCAAGCGATGCAGACGCTGCAGGTCAAAAGGCAATGGCGCGAAGCACTCCCGATGAGGCCACACTGGCCGGCCCATCGGTGATATCTTGCAGGACCCATTCTCCTCCACCCGTGGGTACAATCCCAGGGCCCGAAGGGGCTTGCGAATGGCGTGGCCAAGACCGGGCATGACCCCGAGTTTGTCCACTGAAGTCTGACGGGGACGCCCCATCCTAGATGATGGACCACGCATCAGTTGCGGTGAGATGAACGGAACCAAATCTCCATCCCCGCACTCATCAATTTCATGCCACGGATCACTCTCATCTAATTAGTGTATCCTGCCGAGGCCGGGAGGCCAAGACGTCTTCCGCGAGCGATTAGCGAGGTTCAGTAACTAACTCTGCGCTGGTTTAAGCCACAGTCATCGGAGAAAATGATCAAACGTGATGCCAATTAAATCATTTCAATAAATCGTCAGGCCCAGGTTAGTCGGCCGCTCGATCTAGCCACTGCAATGAATTGGCCCCCAATAGCACAGCACCTCGAGGCGGCCAGATTCCTCAAAGAGACCAAGAAGACAGGTATCCCAGTCCAATGGCCCGCCATTCTAGGCAGTCCCAACTTCACCGAACCCACTGGATATAGCTCACAGCCTCCTGCTCAGTTCCAACTTGGAAGTCCTCATTTTTATCCATGTGAACGGAAGCCATTCCTGGACATGTGGAGCCTTAAGAGGTGAGTTATTCCCCGCTTATGGCCGTCAACTGACCATTGGTGAGAGAGACGACACTATGGCTGTACCGACCGCTTCCACTACCGAGGCGACCTTCCTGGCCGAGATACCAAACGAGACTTGACAAAGGCATTCACTTCGCAATGTGACTCTGCAGATGGAGCATTGCCGCTGGCTCTTCTCTTGAAGTTTGTATGTGTATCCGTACCCATCCCTGTTTTCGGGGCCTTCATGTTCACACCGGCACCATCACTCGTCCGAGCCAAGCCGGGTAGTGGCTATCATATTCCAGACGGCCGCAAAAGACGGGCCCTTCGGTCCACTCCCGTACGCGGTTACCTGCAGTGATATAGCACGCCGTGCAACAGTATCAACAGTACCGAGGGCTTTCCTACAATAGTGAGCGGAGTAACCGGTCGTTCAACGTCGGGTCCGGCGCGGAACCTGCTGCGGGAGACTGACACGCTTCCCTCTCAGCTCTCTCCGAGATTGGTCCACGGAAACAAACAGGTACTGTGGCAAGTTGCGCTGAGCTCTTCCTTACTTGCGGTAAAGAGAGGGGGAGGACATGTGCCACCGCCCGACCGAATGGACGGGATGCGGCGTCGCACATGGCTCGCGGGACGCTGTACGATGGATGAGGAAAGTTTTACCTTAGGTATCTTCCCCTTAGCTTGCCGATGTTGTGCAAGATTCCACGCGATCTTTCCCGAGCGTTGGGCTGCTTGGCCCGGGTCTCCGAAGGAGATCGCGTCGTCTGATGGGCGGGCATGCGAGTGGGTTGCGCGACTATCGGTCATCTGGCCTCCGAGATATCTCCACCATCGGGCCCGAGGCCGTGGTGTGTCTCCGGTCCAATCGGGGTAGGCGGACCAGTGGCATGTAGGAGTCTCCCGCAGGTGGCACAGATAGCATGAGTGTCTCCTTGGTAAGTCCATTATTCATATCGTGTGGGCAAGGAGGCGTCGAGAGCGTAGTAGCTAGAAATTGGTTGCTTTGCTAGTCAACCAGTGTCCCTTGCCATGTTGACCTTGGGACGGTTCTGGGCTTGTGGCATACCAGCCAAGTGGGCAGCATCGGGTTCTTGACCAAACTCCTTTATTCGTCCCGTTTCACGGTTGACGTATTCTTAGCGCTGTTTCTAAAAAGCGTTGTACATGCTGTGCGCCTCTGCGATATGGCCATGATGCTCAAAGTCGCGACTGTCTTCCAACGTCAGCTCCCTGACCTACCTACCTACTCTTTTCGCCTTGGTATCAGACGCCTCCGGGAGAAACTTACTGTCTCTCGCGGTGCGATAGCTGTCGGATACGGCTTCAAGATTGAAAGCAAAATGAAAAAGACGCGAAAGAAACGGGAGCAAGTTGACGTCTAGTAGAATTCAAACAAATATACCGGCGATGGCTGAGTGTAGTAACTCTTTCCCGCGCTGCAGGGTGTTCTTGTGTTTCTTTCGAAGTACTTTTTGGTTCACTTGTTCTCCTACAGCTAGCCGATGACAGAACGAGATTGATATAGCTGTTTAGATACCCTTCCTCATGTGAGATTTCTCGTTCCTTTACTGTCCTAGGGGGGTCAACTCACCCCGAATGGTATACAGCTTCAACAGAAAACCATAGGCGACGATAAACAAGTACACGTAGCACAGCAGCACTCACGAATGATATTCCATAGTCGGTCGTATGTTTCTGTGATTTGATTTTAGCAAAACGGTCAACACGCATGTGAGGAAGGGGGTCCCATCTTGTTGTTAGTGTAGGGTGCTAAAGGTGAACCGTGAACATTTGATATCGGGGGATAAGACCACTTCGATTATTACGTGGAGCGTGTTCTTTATCTTCGGGCTGGATGACTGAAATCCACCATTAGCTCCGCGGTCTCGTACTTGGTGCGTGAAGATGGTCTCATGAGGCAGGTGGCGTCCGGACGGATACATCCACTTACTTGCGGGTGTGTATCCCATCTGATAAACTATTCTCTGCCGCACCTGAATATACAACAGCAAACCTTCATATACCCCTCCGAGTCCATTTCTGTCACCAGCACAGCAGACGCCCTCTAGGTCGGGGTCCAGGTCAAACTGTGGCGTGGGTGGTGGAATGGTTCATGGTCAACAATCAAAATTTCCGCCCACACAGCCTATTCGACGACAGGCTACGAGTTCGAGTCCGCGTTTCCCAGTTTGTGCACCAAGAGATGTAGCCCCCAAATCGGCACCGGGGGGAGTGAACTCTTTTGCTTTTTGTTTCGATTGCCTTTGGAGGCTCGGACCCTCACAGATATAATGCCGGATGACTCCGAACTTACTAGACCTACGATATAGAAAGATAGAAGGACCTGGATACGGGTGTGGTGCCGGCTTCTCGTTGCTGTACAATCCACATATCCTACTTTGGCAGGTGATTTCCCTTGAGCGCTGGATCTCGCTCAGGCATTTCCGCCGAAAGCCAGTGAAGCCGGAAGGAACGAGACCCCCGCATAGAACGATGCGGTGATCACCTCCATCGCCGAGTATCTTGATGAGGCAACCTGGTGCAAACTTCCGCCATTTTTCTCGAGTGCCTGAGTGTTCGGTGGCCATGTTTCGTTTCCTGGGATGCGTTTTGTGATTGAAGGTTGGAGATGAATGTCTAGTGACCTAGGCAGGAGGATTTTGTCCGGTACCAGTGCGCATGATGAACGATAGTGGGAAAGATATGGTCTCTAGCGAGCCAGGAGACGAAGGCAGGGGTATGTTCTGGCTTTGCTACTTTGAGCTCCATTACAGGGCTATATCTTGTTTTCTAAAAACACCATCTTTTCCTCGGTGATTGGTACTTTGATATCAGTGAAAGGGGTGGCTGGTGAACCCCGTTCGGGCAAGCGGTCGTATAGACTGTAGGGCTTCTCAATTCAAGAAAAAGCATTGAAATTCAAGAGGCTAAACTATGGAGCATGATAGAACAGGAAGATGGAACGCAATTTGTTCTTCTACCTTCTGCATCAGTAAGGGTTCGTGGAAAACAGTGAATCTCGGAGGGATCTGGCTGAACGTATTGTTGTGAGCCTCATGTCGCGGTCCGTAACAAGGTAAACTGGCACGCGGGTTTTTGCTTGCAGGCTCGTTCAGAGTGCACATAGCATGATCGCGGATAAGTGGCCGAGCCTTGCGGATGATTGCTTGCGGCAAATGTTTGTGGATTGGCGGGTAGGCGGGTGCCCGGTAGGATAAGTTTGCTCGACTATTTGGTGACGTCGTGTACGGGGGTATGGAGTGTAGGCCTTGAAGGTGGTATATGCATCTGAAACTGCTCTGGCCGAAGAGAGTTGTTTTGGGGTATGAATATATCTCATCCGCGAGGAGATTCTGTTGGATGATGCTAGGTTCGATCGACTGGTATTGATTTCCAGTAATTAGTAGGAAGATGTATCTCATCGTTACAAGAGTCATTTGTAAGTCGTGCTTTCCGACGTGCGAAATTCTTAGAACAACACGCTGACCGTCGACTTAAGCCTTATTGTGTCCCATATCAACCATGGCGGGACACGAGGATTCGACTCTACAGCGGCCGGAGAAGCGCCCCAAGAACTAGACGCATGTTGTCCCCAAGTAGGCCTCCAGAATTCTTCGGCACATGCCACGGTTCGAACTTGCTGAAATTTCGCTCCTAAACGATACGGATACGATGCCATTGACGGGCGGCGGTGAGTAACTCGGCAATTGAAGATAACGTAAAGTGGTATATGTGAGGCGGCTTTGAAGAGCAGCCGTTTTGTTGCTTTGATTGGATGCCGGTACCAAGCCGCAGTGTTCACTGAAGCTTCAAGTACCTGAGCCGAAAGACCGTAGTAATGCAAGTGGGAAAAAAACCATACCCAAGGCTGCAAATAGGAGCTTGATAGCAACCTGGGTAAGTGGGTTGATAGGCGGGCATAGCTATCTCTCTCAGGAGCAGCTCAGCCTGTCCATGTAAGCCTCCAAGCGTCATCAGTTCTCGATCGGAAGGCCAAAGATTTCGCAAATCTTCCTCCTGAAAGTGGACTTTTTCTTCAATGTGATCTACTGGCTGTATGTTGACGAGTGAAGCTCGGCCTGGACCTTCATAGTGACGAAGTGATAGCGAGACTGAGAGATGCAATTTGTGCTCCGGGACAGGGCTTACACGAGGGAGATTCGGAGCATAAATGCGTACTTGGTCACGCTCATTTGTCCGCGGTTGGGATATTGGCAGGGATAGCTTCGCAATGACATTTACGCCAAGAGAGTAGAGGGGATGTGATATCCATCCTGTCGCACCCACGCACCTTGAGAATTAGTCTCAATTGAACCCTCAACCAATCATCTAGGAGGGGAAACAAAGTCGAGAAGTGAATACGACTTTTACTGAATAGGCAGAATTGATGAAATGGAAGCGATCTTCATCTTCAATCCCCACCAGCGTCGGCCATGTTCCGATCGACGTTGGATTAACCTCGAAAGTCTAAAAGACCAGGCCAAGTCACTAAGAATGCAAACGTGCCAACCAAATGTCCAAAATCCCCGTGGAACGGTGGAACTAGAGGCAAACCGGGGGAAAGAAATGTCTCACCAGGGATCGCAACGTACAGTGACGATCATCGAACGGTTTTTTGCACCGACTAACTTATATTGGACGTCACACCCCAGCTTTCCCCAGGAGTTCCAGCCCGCTTCTTATGCCGCTCCGGATTGATGATGCGGCGCTCGAGAATTTCCCGGTCGCGTCGGCTATTGGGAGAGAGTGTGTGGCCAGCCGACTGGCGTTCAGCGCCGCTAATTTTGAGGGTCTCAAAGGAATTTGGGTGTAAGAAACAAGAAGTCTGGGTGTTGTTTGGCCGCGAAATCTGCATGTGTCCTACTTCTTACAAGGACAAACGTCACGTCAATTATCGACTGTCGCTCTGCGCCATGTCGACTGCCACAAACGGAGCGTGTCCCGTTGTCTAGTGTTACCTAGCACATGAATCGCTCGCTGCACAAGAGGCACAAGCACAAACAAGATGATCCAGCGATATCGATAATTTGGCGGCTGGCTGATCCGTGGCTTGTGAACTTGTCACGGCGTCTGTTCTGGTGGACAAACGCCATTCAACTACAGCAAAATGGTGGAGGCTGATGCTGAAGTGTGTACTATCTATGCTGGATGATAGCGCTTATTGGAGTTTTGTAGCAAAGATTTTGCTAGAGATGATATCGCAGTGGCGGTACAGTTCCTTCGCTCATGGTAGGACTCTGAAGGATTTGAGAACCCGGAGCGAAGGAACCTTAGATCCTCTGTGTGACCTCCCACCTCTTCGGTCTCTTGACCGCAGCGAAATTTGATTTCGAAGCAATTTTACGTAGACGCTCA